CCCGGTGGAACTTGAGGGAAAATCGAATGACCGAATGTCGCGAAATTAGGACACGCTACCAGAAAAGTGTCTCCGATTTTTCATACGTCACACACCGCGAAATCTCATTTCCTCCTGCAATTGCAGGTCGCATTTATTCCATCCCCCTCTTTTTATCTACAATTTATCGTTCTGTTCTCTATTCGATGAGAATTTGGTTGTCAATCGTGTCTCATTCACTCCGGGAAATTGCGGAAATAACCGCCTCCATCGGTGGCACCAAAAATTTATTGTTCACGATAATCTGATACTCCAAACAATTAATCCCCAATTGCGCGCTATTTTCGGCGCAAATTCTCGCCAATTGTTTTTCTCACGCGTTTTTTTCTCCACTTTTAATTAATTATTCCACCCATATCGAGTACACTATCCCCCAAAATACATACTCCCCCGGGTAAATATGTACACGTCTCCCTCGCGAGGGGGCGGGGGGGAGAGAAAAAAATCGGCGGACGTTCATTTCAGAAAGCCCGGAGTGGCAATTAGTTAAATTGCAAAGTCGTACATCCCCCACTGACTGTAGCTCTGGCATTTCAATTTTTCTCTCATTACCTTGGAACTTTTCGAGGTAAAAAATTCAAGCGTGATCGTTCAACTGTTGGGGAAAAAAATGAAAAGAAAAGAGTTGAGAGAGAAATAACACGCTCACCAAGTTGGATGGATGTGATAAAATCCCTGACGTCACGAAACTCCGGGTGAATTCAACTCTGACGTATCTCCATGACGTTTGGGTGATCTCAAAATGGAGATAAGACGGGGAAAACGCGAGTAGATGATACTGGAATAATGCAGTGGTGTTTATACGAGTTTTCCCTCTGGTATTTTCCAGAAAATTGCACTTTAAATTTCAATTTGAGAAACTTTATTGAAAAGGGATTCTATTAAAAATTTTATGAATTTCACAGATTTTCTCACAATTATTTATTTTCAAATGAAATAAATTGTCTGATAATAATTGAACACTTTATTAAACAATTATTAACATTAATATCAAGAATTCGGTGTTTTAATTGATCAATAATTAATTTATGAATTATTGATATAATTATAAAATGAATGATGAATTAAAAGAATTTAATTTTTTTAATGGCGTGTGAGAAATAAAATAGTGAAATGCAATAAATAAATTCTTGCCGGTGGGAAATTCTTCGGGTTATCATCTCGATGGGAAATGCGGGGATTTTGAGAGGTCTTCTAGTGGGAGGTGAAGAATTTCCTCGAGGTAATTTACTTGATGGTGAAGATGCACACTGCACCCTCTCAGTGAATTCCTCTGGACAACTGCCCACTGGGACCTCAACCCAACTGTCCAACCCTGAAGGCTCTTCCTATCCAGTTAGTAAATATTACTTTATGTTATTACTCGTCTGTATGACGCACCGTGCGGGGATTACCCGAGAGTTTTTCCCTCGGGCACAAAAAAAAATTGACAATACGATTCACTACCGAAATTTATTTAAAATTCATGCCTGCATTCGCCAGATGAAAATCTCTCTGACATTGGAAATTTATTTCTCGGCAATTATTACCACGTTTTTTTCTTTTAAGCGGCGAATTTTCTCATTAAATTTTTCTTACGAACTCATTTTCCTATTGACATGAAAAAAAAAATCGTTTTACCACTCCATCAGGAAGTTCTAGAATATAAAACCTATTATCTCATTTAATTACCGGAAAGAAATGAAAATGTCGCGAGTTGTTCTTAACTCGAGTATTTAGAACGAGGGAAACCCGTTGAGAAAGAAATTGCAGATGAGGAGGGGGTGTTGGGAGGGATTTAACGTGAAAACGGTTTTATGCCCACTTAAACTTGAAGTGAAGGTCATCGAGATAGGTCGGGTCCTGCGTCACGGAGGGTCAAGGAAGGGATTTATAAGGAAATCCGCGACATTTTTTCTCTGTTTTTTTTTTCTTTTTTGAAATATATTTTTCGATATTTCCCGGCGATAAACCTGAGATTTTACGAGCCCCAGAGCATGCGGTCTGGGGGGATGCAGGGGGTTGAGAGCATCGATATAGGGATAAAAAAAGCCAAGTGGAACCCCTGCTGCTCCTTACGACACTTTCATCTCAGCACGCGTTTCCCCTTTCATAGAGTTAACCCTCGAGTGAACACCAGCCTAGGAAAACGCCGCTAAAAGGCCAAATGGTGTCGCCTCACTCCGAGCCCAGAGTAATGCCAGGTAATTGACGAATTAATTGAACTATCGTGTAATGAGTTCACTGGAGAAAGCAAAAATTTATCGATTTTTATTCAACCATTTCCCGTTTATAAAATCTCATTCTCCTACCGTTAACTTCTGATTTTTTTTAACGGTCGATTCATTGGGAATTGTCGAGGGGGGGCCAAGCCCCCCCGTGCCATCTAATATTCAATAATTCTGATAAAACCCAATTAACAACCCCCCAATGTGTTTATAATTACCACATTTTTGCGGAATTTATGTTCAAGGGGGGCTTGGCCCCCCCGAGTCGTAAATAATAATTTTTTTTTATCAATCTAAAAAAATTGGAGATGTGTAATTAAAATCGCAGGGAGCCGTTGTGTAATTCTCAATTGCCCAACGAAATCGCGAAATTAATTATGGGGGGAGGAGGGGGGCTCATGGCAAAAACTAAGATCTCATGAATAATTTCCCCGGGAATATTGAATTAATCCCGTGAAACACGCCAGTCTCAGTGGATTGAAACCCAATGAGGAAAACTAAAGAGACGGATCCCATACATGCACCCGGTGTTTACCAATTGTACATACACCTCGTACAACGTTTACGGATTATCCCATACTGAATAGTATATACACAAACAACTCAACGGACGTGGAGGTATGAGTAATCCATTTTGTGTTGGAAAAGGCATTCCCTCGGGTCGCGGCTGACATGAAAGTGGATATCTCAAAGACTGCTGGGGCAAAACGGATTCACTTTTCTATATTTCGAGATAATGAGGGGGGAGGGGGGATTTTGTCGACCGCACGAATGGTACAGAAATTTTTCGCGATTTCCGGTGGATTTTTCGCGACTCTCCGGCGCACGGGAATGATAATTTTTTTTTTTTTCTCGATGACGCATGAGTCTTGTAATTATTTCGGATGAATAATCTCGGTGGTTGGTCACGCATCAAGTTGTCGGGCAGTCGATAAATTCATTGAGATAGTAGTAAAGTCACGGATTAGTCAGGCACGAAACCGATCATCCCCGTGACCTGGAGGATTTGTCTTTTTTCTCTCCCTCTTCTTTTTGAACTTGAGTATTTCCTCGGTAGTTGCAAAAAGGGTATTTTATCGATTAAAAAATTCCGAGCATTAGGGAGATAAATCCATGAATACAGTTATATTAAATAAGCCTTGGCATTGGGTATACCCGGGGCTCTGGGCAGCCTCCGATGTATTTTATGCGCGCGCAGATTTCCCAGACAGGATTTTCTACCCTCTCACTCACATGGCTTCTTCCATCCCCTTTGCCACCTCGTTTCAACTACCCCTACGCCAACCATCCACCAACCCCTTCACCCACCTCTAACCTCTTTCCACCCTCTGGCCACCCCACGCCTCATCGAGCAACGACTCCCGGGACTCGACTCATTTTTTACCACCAGCTAAAACTATTTATTTATTTTTTAATGCACCGCGGTAAGCAATAAATAAATGCACGTGGATTTTTTAGGCTTTTTGGATTTTTCGATTTATAGGAATTTGGGTCGATTTTAGGAGGAAGTGTCAGGGGACTTTTTTGATCATATCTAAATTTTCAAAGGAAAAGGTCTTTTCGGATTTTTTCGTGGAATCAATAGTTTTTGAGATTGACGGGGATTTAGAAAAAATTATTCGTGAACTGTCGGATTTTTAAAAAATTGAATCTCTTAGAATTTCGATCCTGTAGTTTTCAGTTTCAATATTTATACGGGAATCAATTGAAAATCGGAAAATTTAGGAAAAGCCTGAATTTCCAAAATTTTCCAGAAATTTTCTCTCAAAAAAAAAATCCGCTGTGGATATGAATTTTTCTTTGAAAATTCAAGTAATTTCTCATGTAAAAAATTGAATCAAATTATGTTATCAATTTTTAAACATATACATATTTTTAATATTTCGAGATATACCCCTATTTTTAGCCCGTCCCGAAATTCCGTCCTAAAAAAGACGAATTCCCCCGCTGTGGCTCCCCGGAATTCCACAGTGAAGTGGCATCCAAGTGCGTCATGGTAGACCTCTTCCGGAACAAGACCAAGAAGAGACCGAAAAAGCTTCTCCCTCGAATGCAAGGGGTCAACGGCCCCCGGCCAAGAGCCCCTCCGACCTCACAACAACTCTCAACTTCAAAACACATGGCAACACAGCGTGAGCCCCCCTCTACCCCCCCAATCGATTTTCTCCGCCCCCATAAAATTAAAACCTGCACCTCCCATCCTAATTAAATTAAATTAATCAAAATAAAATTCACGAGCATCCCACTCCACCTTACCGACCCCCGTGTCGATAACGCAGCGCCCCCCCATCGATAACAGCAGCCCCCCCGTGGCCCTCCTGCCCCCCCCTCAACCATTTCCTCTCAAATGCAGGAGTTTTCATCGAGAAACGGTGGGGAATTGTTATTGATCTCTCACTACCGTGTATTCGCATCGTCTCGTCGACATCACATACACATATATATCATACATACATAGCGTGGCGAACGTAACCGAGATTGGCCGAGTGGTGTTGAGGACACGAGATGCCACGATTGGTCGTCGGCCCGGTCTCGGCGGAGAGAAATACAGAACAGAACAGAACAGAAAAGATTGCCGACGTGGTGGTGTGTCGAGAGGGGGGCCGGTGGGTGGTGGGAGGAGCAGGCGGCGTCGGGAGGAGCAGGGGTGGTGGGGCCCCGGTGGGGGGGTTACGACGACCGTGTCGCCACCCTTGCGTTGTATTCAGTGCGTGGAAAGCCGCTCATCGGCGCGCATCGCTCGTGTTTCACCTCTCCGTGGATCTCTTTAATATCTGACTGATAATAATCACTGATTAGGGGGGGGCGGGGGGTCAGGGGTCATCAGTCAATCTGATTTCATTGAGATAGGGCGTCTCGACGGAGACGGGGACATCCGTCGGATTGAAAATAAAGTTGAGAGGCACCGGGCCTGCGACGGGCCCGGTTGCCCCCCCCTTTTTCTTTTATCCGATTAACTCAGCCCCCTCAGCACTTCTTTTCCATTTTTTTTTTGGGGATGTGTTTTGGGGTTGTGGAGGGATTCCAGTGGAGATGCCTCGTGGCAGCCAGTGCCCTGGACTCTTTTATGAGCTTCGGGGAGTTTCGGTGAGATTTTTTGGAGGGGGGCAATTTATGGGAATTTAAATGGGGCGGGCTTTTTCAGGGTGTGCGGACACCGCGTGGTCGGGCTGACCCTCGTCCTTCCTTTTCTACTTCGTGATAAATGATTATTCTTTGCGTAATCGATATCTCGTGACCCACCGATCCGATTTTTATTTGTCAGATGTCTTTTTAAAGATGGAGAAAATTACATCGGAATGATTGGGCATTTTATGAATTTCAATCTGCGAATATCGAGTATTAATTGGAATTTCTATCACATCCTTTCCGGTTTTTTAATTATATCACTCGATCTTCGTTTTGCCAAGTTTTATTTATGACAGGAATGTTGGGAATATTGTTGCTATTTTTTTATTAATCTATTATTTTCTTTGAATCTCTGAAGCGTACTGACCCGACGCGAGACCTTGAGCTCGTCGACTTGAGCATTTTGTTTTGATGATATGCATGTTCTTAATTAATGACCCTCTGTTAATCACCAGCCAGTGCGATCTTGAATAGACCATCGACCTCGCGTTAATTCCCTTGAATTTTACCCCGAAAAAAAAAATTCTTTAAGCCCCTTAACACCCGCGGTGACATTTCCTATCTTATCACTCGTCTCCGCGTGCAGAAATACTCGCAAATACCGGTAAATACATGCAAAATTATATTTTTTTTAATGCACACACATCTCACACACACTATTTATCCACGATATATCAGAGATTTCCGGGATCCGTCGGACTGTTGACTCGTACTCTTCCCCGAAAGCTATTAACACTCTCGCATTTTCGGGAATAAAAACACCAGTCGAATTTACCATTTCTCTCACCTACCGATTTATCTAAAAAAAAAACTACCAGCTGAATAGAAAAAAAAACCGGAGGGTTTTTTTTTCCCGTTGTTTAATTTCCGTTGAAAAAAAGGCCCTCCGACCAATTCCCCCCCATCAATTAATATTTTCCCCAACTTTTTATTCACCTGTTAAAACATTTCCACTCGCTCTTAAATTATATTGAAATCAAAATTGAATAATTCGAGGGGAGCCCTAGGGCGGTAAACACCTCGCGTTCATCCAATTTTCGTTTATTATTCCTCGGGTGTAAATCAACGTGAAATATCCCCAGGTGACTCGTGATGCACGAGACAGAAGGAAAAAATGCTCAACACCGGGTGAAAATATGAAAATAGGGGTATGTGAAAATAGCGGGAAGAACAGGTGAAATGAACCGAGTGAAAGTGAAGGAGATAAATTGAGAAAATAAATAAAGAGAATAATAAATTAGTGATAATTTCGAATGGTTGAGGGTGGTAAAAGTGGTAAAAGGGAGAGGCGACGACGAAAGAGACGAAAACCGGAGGAGGTGCGTCAGAGGAGTGCAAAAGTGGCGTCGTTAACGCATGAGTCCCGGGGGACTCGGACCCGTCGACGTACAAACGGCGGTTCATTGTCAAGTCGAGGTAGTGCTGGTATGCAGTGCGGTCTTTGCGCTGTACTCGCTGGATTATTCAGAAGGGCAATGTGCATTGCGGGTAGTAGAAGAGGATCTGGTGAATCTTGCTATCAGGAATTGACCACTGAACAACAGGTTATGATTGATCAGAAGACGTGCGAGGTGGGGGTCACTATCACGAGTGCAACACCCGAGAGAACCTCGTCGTTTACCCACAGATGTGTACGGGATGTCATTCCTGAGGTGAGATTCCATGAGCATGAACAATCAACGCCGACTTCAGTTGTTGTTATTTCGTTTGTCGCCAGAGTAAGTTTCTACACGATTTTTCCGTTTTTTTTTACTGTTAAAAACATTTTGCCAAAATTTAACGGTATTTTGGATCGTGAAAATCGTTTGAGTTATTCCGGTTAATTTTTCAATAAGGTAATTGCAGTAATTGGCCTTGCCCTTGGTCAAGGTCGGTGGGCCAAATGCTGGGGAACGGGTGAAATGTTTGGGTTTAATGCGTGGTAATGGGTGACATCTGTGGGTCAAATGCTGCGGAAGGGGTCAAAATGGCGGGTCAAATACAGAAAAACGGGGGAAATCTGTGGGTCAAATCGCAGATGAGTCGGTATATCTACTCGCGTACATCAACGATCTGCACAGCATTAATAGGGAAGTCGTCGTTTACATTTGAATTAGTCAAAACGGGACAGACTGCGACGTGTGCATTATCTATCATACCATAACGCGCACCCACATAATAAACCGCGCATTCCTCGCAGCCTTTTAAGGGGAATTCTCCAGCTGTGCATATGCCACCCACCGGGCAATAAATACATTTTTTTTAACTCCATCCGTTAATTAATTTCATTAATATCTTCACTCCGCTCCAATTTACGAAAGCGGAAAAACACGAAGTTCCGGCCGTCTTTCTTCATTTATTTATTCGTATTTTTATTTTTCTTCTTTTTCACATGTTTTTTTTTTTTTCGTCGGGAGTTACTGGGGAAAAATACTGCGATGGAAATACCAATTTACAAGACGATTAAATTGAGTTAAGGAAGGGACTATTTAGCAGATTCATCGGCCCACTTGGACTCCCACGCCATTGATTTATAATTACGCGTTCACTAACATGATTTTGATCGATAGTAATGGAATGTCGGATGGACGGGAGAATTTCTGTGGCAATGGGCTCCACGGAGAAATAATAACCGTCAATTTTTACTTTTTAATAGTAATTATCGCTCTGACGTCGAGCGGTAATTCTTCGGTGAATGAAATCCAATGGTTTATAAATAACCGGTAATGAACAAATTGGAGCCTCGGTACACGCTAGGAATTGTTGGCGGGTGGAGGGATGCGATTTAAAATTACAATCGGCGCGTCACGACATCCTCTAGGCCCGGGTGGAAATAACGGATAGGTCAGGAACATTAGACGTAGATACATATTCACTCGTGTCGTAATATACGCACACCTTCACCGCGAAAATCGCGCGAGAATAGAATTTGCAATTTTCGTTCGCGTGTCGGGTACTGGCCCCTAGGTCGTGCCGGTAGTTAGTAAACAAAGTTGTTATAATTTTCGGTATTCTCGGAATATTCATGCCCTGGAAAATCGGTGAGACCGGATTCTAAAGGTATCATTTGGGGGTCAAGAAATTTCACCTGGAGTTTCTAAAAAAAAAAAAATCTCATACATTCGATAGACGAAAAATAAATTCTCACGAATGTATATTTTTTATTATTTATCAATCATTATTAATCACTCAATAATTCTTTCATCAACTTGAAATTGTCAATTCCCCAAAATTACATAATTAATACCAATAAATTCAACGGAATAATAACAATTAATTAATATAATTAACGAAAAATCGATGGAAATTGATCTGATGGTCGTAGAATTATAAAAAAATAATGTGTAATCAAATAGCGGACTCATCCCTCTAATTGGATGTATCCAGGGGTGCGTAATGCACTGTCATCCCCAGAACTTACCTCAATACAATCCTCAAAGGTATCTCTACCATCCAGCCATTACATTAATACCGACTAACTCGATACTGAGCCCAAGGCACGCATCCAGCTGTGGGCATGAACTCAAGATCCCTCGGTTTACCACAATGTTATGTACACAAACCAGCAAAATAATCCAATGAGTGTACAGAGTCAATCATTCGGGTGTACTCGTTCGTATTTAATGTTCGAATACATAATCAGGTATTTGCTATCCTTCCCCTCCCCTTCCCCTCCCCTTTACCTCCCCTTCCCATCTCCTTCCCTCCCCCTCGCTACCCCTCCACCCGTGACGTAATCCATCGATTGTAATTAATGAACATTTACATCTGCTAATGAAATTTATTGAACTAATTTGTTCAATAAAAATTCAAAAGACAATGGAATTTTTCTATTTATAAACAATATATTATTAAATAATTCGTAATCATCAATGAATACCCCGAAATTCTGATAATTAATTCGCGTGAATCCACAATCATTCTCAAGTTAATTATTAATTCTGATTAATTATTCATGAGTTTGGAAATTGATTTATTTAATTGACATCTGGTGAGAGTTGAGTTGAAATTTCACGTGAAATTTCTCGATGCCGCAGATCGAAGCGTTCGATATCGGGTACCTCTCAGGGATCAATTTCAATTATTATTTATTTATGCGAGATGAAAGGATGAGGGATTTTCGGTGGGAGGGAAGCGGTCCAGGGATCGTGACGGAATTTACCTCCGGCTTTAACAATTTTCTGACCACTCTGACGTCAGAGATCGCACGATTCGGGTCAATCGGTATTGCCTATGTACTCGTTTTATTTATTTATTTTTTTCTTTACCCTCTCTCTTGATCATTCGTCGAATGTATCTCGCGTGTTCAACGCGAATGCGCGTGTCAAATGATCAAGTCTATCCAATACAAATGACCACTTATTTAAACATCTTGCTCTCGTTATTATCAATCACCATATAATCATTGTCGCAGTATTCCACGTCTCCATTATCTCATTACCACTTTTATCCAGAGATATCGGTAACCCTCAGTTCATGGGATTTTAAAAATCAAATGAACAACAACTTCATATCGCAATCGATAAAGAAAAGTTTTTTCAGTTCACAATTTTTTTTTTCATTTTCATAAATTCATCAATTTTATTTGAATCATCATTTAATTACACCCGTTACATCCCGTAAAATGTTAATCCGTTTAAATAACAATAAAAAACATTTAATATTGAAATTCAATTACACGCAAGTGGAAATTCGTTAAGTAAAAAATATTGCGTAACGAGAATGATTTTTAAACGTTTCATTGGTTGAATGGATGAAGAAAAAATAATAATTAATTACAACTAGGATATCCTGTTGTACCAGACATGGTATTACCATTAGAATAATTCTTTCTCGTTACCTTGGATTTAAAAAAGATTCTGGGGAATAAAGTGGAGAGAAATAATACACGGGATTTTTTTTTCCTGCAAGGCAGCGGAGAATTTTATGTGCCCGGGTGAATTGAGAAGATAGGTCAGGTCTAATTACCATAAAGAAACTAGTCTCCGTGGAAGTTCAACGATGTAGAAATAAATTCACCCTTGTATTTTCTGAAAGACCAGCGATCTCAATTCTATCGAGCATATTCGTTGTGTGGATTCAGTTTGAAGTTCCATACGCTCGTCATGATAACGTGGATACCATGCTATTATATATGGGAATGAAAGAACCTTGAGGACCATGTCGGGATCGTCGAGCTGAACCAGGTCAATCGCTAGTTCGATCCGTCAAACGTGCCGAGACTGCTCAATGCTTGCTTATACTTGGCTGTCCCGATTTTTGAACCCCCCCTCAGCCCCTCTCAACCCCCCTCAACCCCCCTCAACCCCCCCTTTTTGTTCATCCTAACGTTTAGAGTATCGAAGAATTTTCTGGCGATTGAACTTCAATTGATTCCGCCAATTCCCCCGACAATTGCAATGATTTCACCGATTTTCTCGGTTTTCACTCGCCGATTTTCCAGGGATGCAAGGCCGATAGCAAAATTTTCGACTCGACCTTTTTCGTAGGGCATGTTGAGACCTACAAAAAAGGTGATTACAAAATTTTCGGTATCTCTGTTGGATTCGGGGATATTTGACGAAAATACCGGGAATCGAACGAGTCGGTATTTTAAAAATCCGCGAAAACCGCGGTAATACCCACAATTGGTACGCACCAGTGACAATTAGCGGTTCTTCGCCTGGATTATTTTCAACCCTTTAATCCTTAATCCCTCGGCCTCCACTTTTTGCCCCATTTTATTGCCCACTTGTGTACGTTTTTCCCTTTTACCGAGAGCACCTTTTTTATTCACCCAGTTGTCCCCTTTTTCTTTCATACCTCCACCGCATTTTTCCCCACCGATGAAAATTTTATGATGTGCATTGAGGCAACACCGGAAGTGGCGCCTGCATCAAAGCCCTGTTAATGCACATTTCTTTTTTTTTTTCATGAATACACGGCTCTCTGGGATTTATTGTATAAAAATTATCGCTGACAGGAATAAAAAATCTTTGAATATCGTATCCCCCTCATGTAAATGATTGTAAATCACGATTTTAAAATCGCATGTACATATTTTAAACTGGTTACACTATCGCGAGACAACGAAAAAAATCAAGCTGAAAATTTAAAAAATAATCTCGTGTTTATTTCACGGGTGATGGTGGAAAAAAATTTATTCCGGCGCCGTCTTGTTTTCCAGAATCTCGTTTTCCCGCAAGTCTATCTTCATCTCTGTAATATTTTTATTTCCCAGTTTATTATCATCTCTTTTCATTTTTTTTTACGTCAACTAAAAAGAGCCGAGGCACGCGCGATGAGCAGAACATTCTCGGAGAAAATATATAAGTGAATAACCCACACATATGTGCCCATGTGTATATGACGACACGAGAAAAAAAAAAAGATTAGTACTGAAATAGCGTGACATTGTTATACTCGGGGGATTATTAGTCTGAATTATTTATTCGTGTTGTTAAACATTTTTTACCTCGATCAAAAAAAAAAAATGGACGAGGACTTCATCGAAAGGTGAAAATTCTGATTGTAATCTTTATTTACAATCTACAAAAATTAATTAATAATTTATCGTCCATTGAAGTCATGTTTTTTATTAATTTTCCAGTCATAAAATACATTTTTGAAGGAATTTTGAAATTTCGCGGTTCAATTGTTGAATGGAAAATGAGAATTGATGAGATTTTTCTTA